CCCACTCCCCATCCCCTCTCCTCCAGCCTGGGCCTCGCACGTACGTTACTCTTTGGCACCCACTGAAAAACCTTCGCCACCAGTAAAACCTCATCATCACTGTAAAAAATATGTTTGTGCATTGCGTACATATTGCGTATTTCGTAATTCACCATTGACAGAACGAGTCGTACATGTACAACCTCCAACTCTAGTCCGTTGCTCGATTCCAAGTCGGTACGCATGGCTTGTAAATTTCGACACCTGAGAAGAACAGCCGCTCACCTCCGCGGACTGGAAACAAACCCGCTTACCTCTGCAACCCTCAAACAAAACCGCTCACCTCTGGGACACGCAAACAAAGTCGCTTAAATGACTTTTTTACACATTGTGAGATACGGGTATCATTCGAAAGAGAATTTTTCACTGATCATTTTGATACCCGTATCTCAAAATGTGTAAAAAAGTCATTTAAGCGACTTTGTTTGCGTGTACCAGAGGTGAGCGGTTTTGTTTGAGGGTTGCAGAGGTAAGCGGGTTTGTTTCCAGTCCGCGGAGGTAAGCGCTTGTTCTTCGTAGGTGTCGATTTTACAATTTTGAATTGTACTCGTATGACATCTTCCAGGGAAAATTTTCCTGTAACCAGTACGACAATTTTTCACAGTCATCTGAGCGTTGATGGGTCGGTTTAGGGGCGCGGGGGTTGACCGGGAGGAGAAGGACGGGTGGGGCGCAACGGTAGCTGTTAAAGGGTGGGCACACCTGTATCCACCTGTATTCAGGGCTTCTGGGATGGTGCTTTGGCCTCGGTGGGCATCCTTAACGCCGACATTTCGCGATATATTCTTCACCCACATATATACTCAACATCATTTCGGGATTGTTTTGTTCGGTAGCACATGGTACCCGGTGTACACGACTTATGTGTCGACAATCCCCTTTGCTCGGGTACTTTCTCCATCGCACTGACCCACTTTCTGGTTCGGACCGCCCCATAGTGTCCCATCAGACAGGGCAGGGCGAGGCCTGCTGGGCGGCTCTCTGGCGGGTCGCGCCGGGCTGGCGTGGCGTTAGAAGGTGCCGCCGCGCCCCACCGCGCCAGCCATGAGCTTGCACAGCATGCTAATGGTTTCTTGATGATCTGGTCCTGGCCCGGGGCAGGGCGGGACAGGCGGGACAGGCGAGCCGGGCGCGCCGGGCGGGCAAGGTGTGCTGGGAGGGGGAGGGTGGGCGAGACAGGCACACCACGCACAGCAACGCACCCCTACTTGGATATGAAGAGCTATTCATTCGTGTCCAGAATGGCTGGCTGCCCCGTCGTGGTACAATGGTTCCGACTTCTCCCTATCCCCGTGGCGCCGTGTTGTCGTCTGCCTCACTCGCTCTGCAGCGAGAGGGCCCGGTGGAGAGAGAGAGAGAGAGAGGGGGGGGGAGGGGGGCTGAGAATGGCGTGGACTTGTGGAGACAGAAGACAGATCTGCGAGGCAGAGAATGGACCCTTCCGACACGCGCCCACTGCGGAGCAGCAGCCAGGTGTGGGACGAGGTGCTCTCGGAAGGGAAAATGGCTCGCGAGCGCCGCGCGTGTGCGGTGGAGATCACGAGTGAAAGGTTTATCAAGACCTTCCCAGCACAGACAGCTGGCGAAGCTTGCTCCTTCTGATAGTAAATATAATGAGGGCATCACTAAAATGCCCATTCTAATCAGACTGCTGGCGACTCAGATTGATCGCTCATTTTCAGTAGAATAAGTCTGGATACAAAGTTCACGAAACACAAGCGTATGATTTTCACGCCAGGCATGATTTTCAGGTTTCGTTAGCTTCACTCAGCCAATCAGAAACCGACTTTTATCACGCCGGGCGTGGAAATCACGCCTGGCGTGATAATCGCGCTGGCGTTTCACTGTTAAAAATTACCCCAGAGAGAAATTTTGGTGGAAAAGACGTGGAATCGACGTGGTGTTATACGTGGAAAACACGTGGCAAATTCACGTGTTATCCACGTGAATTTGACTATCTCATCCACGATTTATCGACGTGTTGATCACGTCGATTCAACGTGATATCGACGTAAAGTCTCCACGTACAAAAGTGCTACACGCAGATCTGAATCTCAAATTTAGGTATAACTCTGGAATTTATATAGTAAGGTGAAGGGTAAACAGTACATAGAGAAACAGTTTTTTTTTTTGAGTAGAATGTTGACTTTATTTGATGAAACATGAAAACAATAACATAAAGAAATAAATCCTAATCTTTAAAACAAAAATAGCAATGACTAGATGCAACGAAACTTAAAGAAAAACATAAACAGTCTTCTCGCTGCATATATCAGCCAGTTTATAATGGGTTCTTCAGCAGAAGGTACTACCCCCCTGCTTATTGAAATCTACCAAAGCACCTGAAAATAAATGAAACTAAATTACTGTGAATATGGAGGTAACATTATAAAAAGTGAACATACTTTTTATAACAACCATTTGAATTTGAAGAAGCAACGACAAGAATATAATTTCAAATACACACTATCAGAGAGACAAGCCTTTCAACGTAACCTGGTCTAGAGTTCAAATCAATGCACTGACAATAACACTGTGTAACAATAGCAGAAAAGTTCGGTGAAAAACGCAAACAAATTTTGAGTTGCAGTGTAATTAATGTTTTATTCAGGCTTCGAGTCATTCCCTAAGAGGTTAAGTATGATAACCTAAACCAAACTAACCTAGTCTATACTTCGCCCACGATAAAAGACAGAGATTAAATATCTTTTCTTGACACTAAATACATCTATAACCGAATCACGCTGAGAAGTTATAAGTTTAGACCTTTCCTTACCTTCCGACTTTGATTAACGGCAGCAGTTCTGGTACCAGCATGCTCTTGTGCCTCTATATCACCATACGTCCACAGAAGACAAAACCTGCACGAAGAGAAATTACTAACGATGCGATAATACAAAGAGGAAACGTAAAAAAATTGTATTCACTTACGCTTGTTTGATTTTTTGTAGTAATTTGTACTAAAAGACCACAAACACGATACGACATTTCGAATGTAAACAACTTACGGTGCCTTCTTTTTTCCGTCCAAAACGAAACTCTATGATGTCGTGGCGGAATATTTGAAAGGTGTTCTCAAGAACACTATCTGAGTATTCTTCAATGAAGATGACGAATGAAAAGCGTATGCTCTGTCACAGAATAAATGTCTAACAGTTTCGTTGGCGCTGTTTTAAAGTGATAAGCATAGATACATTTGAGACCAACTGGTACGAGCAACTAAATCAAGGGTTTCGAGGCAATCGACGTGAGATCAACGTGGAATCGACGTGTAAACGACAGACGAACTGATACACGTCGATTCGACGTGGATTCCACGTCGAATTGACAATATACTGGAATATGGCGTTCAGAACAATAAAAATCCCATTTAGTAAGAAATGTTGACGAAAAAATGGTTTCTTATGATTTTATTTGCAACTTTTTAGAAAGGTAAATAGTGGTGGATATCTGGTGGATGTATCCACCACCACGAAAAATCCACGAAACAACGTGGAGTCCACGTCTTTTCCACGACCTATTTCTCTCTGGGTACAACAGTAAATTTGAAAACTGTGTAATCCTGTAGTTTGCACTGTACTTTGTTCTGGAGGAAAGTTCTTTTCCAGCAATGCCAAGTCTTTATCTGTCCAATACCAGTCGAACAGATTTTGACCGTAGTGTGGAAGTACAGGACGATCTGTATGAATTCTGTTTCTGGGTACAGAATTTTTAACAGTGTTAGCGAACTCTTTATCCACCTTAACGCTTCAAATGTTTTGCAATCTTTTAGAATCATTTGAAAATCTTACATGCGGCTGAGGTGGATATACAGACCTCTTGGATAGGGGGGTACATTTCCCTTTCGATATTTCGTCCACGAAGTTGGATGCGTTAATGTCGTTTACAAAATCCTTACAGTTTTACAACTTTACTTTGCTTTGTAGAAGTCTCCTATTCTTTTATTTCGCAATAAGAAGGAGGAAGTAGAACGCTGCCGTTGTATGCTAATCCACAGGTTAACGCACGGAGCTGTGAGCAACAACTGCGGTAATCCCGCACGCTTTGTAATGTGAAAACATATAAAGCTTTTCTATGATTAGCCAAACGTTTAAATATTTTCGTAATCGTTTAATCTATTTCAAGCGTTTTAGTCCTTCACAGGTAAAGAACAAAATTGATCCTCGTCATTCTTAAAAATAGTCCAAGATCTGCCAAACGCAAACTGTTGGTTACAATGAAAAACCGAAAAAAAAACCACCTGCTTTTATCTTTTCACATGTAGTTTTTGAGAGTGCTGGCTCTTGCGGTAAATGGCGGCCACGGCGCTGATCCGTGCGATGCCCTCCACAGCCAAGTCCTTGGGACCCGCGGCCCTCGGTGGCGAGGACTGTAAAACCAAGCCCGCGCCTCCGCCAAGTCTCTTTGATAGCTGGCGCAGCTTTCCGCCCGCCTCCCCTCTCGCGCCGCCCCCCCC